CAGAACCAAGGTGGGAGAGTGCACGCACACCTGACCCTGGGCCACATCCAGAGTGAGTGTGCCCGGGAGCCCAGGCGCGCTCCCCACATCACCTGCAGCCAGACTCACGCCGGGATTAGCCAGGTGTGGCGGAGACCCCAGGGTGCCCGCACACACCACGCCAGGGGTCAAGCGACCCGCCCCATAAGTTATTGCCCCTGAGAAAGTACAAAAGGAAGCTCCATTCAGTTATCTAGGAAAAATGCTATATCCCAAAGAAATTAAACCTCAAAAAATATAAATTAGGAAGGATAACTTAAGAACATTAAATGATTTTCAAAGGTTGTCAGGAGACATAAATTGGCTTTATCCCCATCTGAGGCTTACCACGGGGGAGTTAAAGCCTTAATTTGATGTGTTAAAAGGAGATTCGGATCCCAACTCTAGCAGGATAATTATTCCTGATGCTCTTCAAGCTTTACAATCATACTCTTTTCATTTTAAACTTTTTGAATTTGGATAAAAATGACCGCTCTGCAGCAGATAGAAATGTGGCACCCTCAGTCACAGGATACATATGCCCAAGTTAGGTGGAAGGATCCTTTAACTGGACAATGGAATGGCCCAGACCCTGTATTGATTTGGGGAAGAGGGCATTTTGTGTTTTTCCACAGGATATAGATGGGAGCCAGGTGGCTGCCGGAAAGGCTGGTGAGGTTCACCGGACAAGCACCAAAGAAAAAGTAGAAAAGAATGATGAGGTGACAAACGTGGCTGATGATGATCCCGCAAGTGATCTTGGCTGGGTTATACTGGACTTATGTTCCTGATCCACAATATTGCACCCTGCGATATGGGAGGAAAAAGAGGTAGTAGTGACTATGAATGACTCTTGATTAATTGCTCAGCCTGCTTCAGGATGCCTGATGATGCAAGTGGCTATGAATTTTTATTTTGGATTGGGAAGCGGGTTGCCTATTTTGTTAAAGATGATAAGTCCGGGTGTGTACAAGTAGATGACTGTGTGCTTATGGGATGAAGTGGATACTGTACCAATGTCAAAGTGTTATTGCCAAGAGATAATAGAAAAAAAAATTCTCCACATTTCCACCCTGTAAGCAGCGGCAGATATTCTAAAAAGGTTGAGAGCCACCTTACCATCATGGTCCTATGGTTTAGTGGGACTTAGCATGCTTTTCCTCCTGTCTTTGTTTTCATCTGGTGGCAGTAATGAAATCCTGTGGCAAGTCAAGGCTGCTGTGCATGATATGAGATTGTGCTCCCTCCCCTAACAGAGGCCGGTAGTCAAAGACAGGTAAGATCTTCTGGGAGAAAAATCAGCCTAAGACAGGGATGGAGGCTACGTGCCGATGATGGGTAAGGCTTTGCTCTGGCAGAAGACAACCTAAGACAGGCATGGTCCTTCTGTCCTAGATATAGCATAATCTGGGGTTATAAAAAAAATA